TACCGCAAATTTTGCTAAGCTATGTGCACAGCTGTTTCCAGCTCTATGAACAAAAGAAAAAGTACATTGTTCAAACAAACATCTCATATTAACAATGTCTTCAAGGACAATAGTTATCCTGGTATGCTGGTCCTTTTCCTTGTTGATCATGTCCACTACCTCCTTGCAGTCAGACTGGAATTCTACTTCCTTCCAGTTTGCATCGTAAGCCATTTGCATTCCCATCCGAATTGCTGCTGCTTCCTCCGCTTGTGGCGTGCTAGCTTTTAGTTCAGCTTTTGCCCATGCTTTCATCAGTTTTCCTTCTGCATTTCTAGCCACAGCACTTATGCCTATTCTCTTCATGTTTTGTGAAAATGCAGCATCAGAATTTATCTTTATCTGTCCTCTTGAGGGTGGTTTCCATGGCTCGCTGCTATTTGAGCTTGTTGTTTGTTGAATGAACTTTCCATCTAAACTTGTTTGGGATACTACAGACAAGAACATCAAAAAAATACTTGTGGGATACTACAGACAAGAACATCTAAACTTGCTTGATGACTACATTCCATACTTGTGTGGTTTGGGATACACAGACAAGAACATCAAAAAAATTGTTAATCGTCGTGTTTCATGTGCCGATATCATTAGCATACACGAGGCGCAGCTAAATTATCCTTCATTTGCTATTCAACTTGGAAATACGACGCAGACATATTCAAGGACACTAACAAGCGTCGGCGAGACCCCCTCAACTTATGAAGTTAAAATTGACTCAGTTCCAGAGGTTAAAATAATTGTCCAGCCTCGTGTGCTCTACTTCACACAGGAGAAACAGCAGTTGAGCTATGAAATTAGCTTTACCAGGATCCTTCCCTTTTCTGACCATCTTTATAGGCATGGTGCAATTACATGGATTTCAAACAAGTACAATGTTAGAAGCCCAATCTCAGTTAACTTCGTGTAACATGGAATTTGAAAATGAAACTCTAGTAAAATAGCACTCATTATTCCTGATTACTTGATAAAATAATAGTTGTTTCATAATGGTACGACTTTTCAGTGGCAAATCATAGCTTTTCTAGTGTTTGCACTTTGCATGTAGCACCACAGATAAACTCATGTTCGAGTTCGCAAATGCGTCCTTAATGTAGATAACTAGCAAGATATGGAATAGCCTCCATCAACATCCTAGCTCTTTCCCTTCCTTAGCAGACTTCCTTTCAGGCTTTTACGAAATTTTATACAGGTCCTAAGGAGAAATTTCAAAACTAGTTTGAAAGTTCAGTTTTATTTGGATCATGAATGGTGGCCAGATGCAAAGCAATATGGCAACTTTCTTTGTCTACTAATCATTTCGGTACCATTGCATAACCAGAGCTGCTAAAAATTTCCTAATATATGTGGATCAATTGCTGCTAATGTTTTGAACGATTGCTTATTTTGTCAAGATGCAGTTTCGTATACTGCCTTCTAGTTCTAAATGCTACGCCAGACAAAGTTGAGAGGATGATTTTTTGCATTTAAATGATCACAAGAACTCTCCAGGCAACACAAAAATGTAAAAATAGTCTTTAACCCTTTCTTTTTGATTCCGTACACATGAATATCAGAAATCTAGAATAATTATATGGAGAAATTTAGTTATGCGTTACAAATTTTATTAGCTGTGAGGAGATCAAGATTCTAAGGGACGGGGTGTTGAACCATTGATCTTCGGAAGCCAATATTTGCAACATGGACGACATTTCTAGCCCCTCTGCTCCTCTTTATTAGAATTATTCCTCGACTTTCTTGATCTTCTAAACAAAAAATCAAAGGCAGTGGCATCTTCACCTGGAAATGAGCTGAGTATCTCAATTTGCAAATTTCTGAGAATCACAGCAAACTCTTGAGCATCATTCATGGCTCCTCGTGCTCGGGCCATCGCCTCCTCCATGTCCTGATTAACCAAGTAGTGCGAGCATATTTGGCCAAGTATGCGATCATGCCTTTCTTCATACCTTACGACTCTTAGCTCAGCTTCAACCAAGGCTTCACTTACCATTCTCAATTTGTCTTGTGCTAATTTCTTTTTCTGCCATTTCCTTACAATTGGAAAACAGGTGAAAAATGAAGCTGACAAGCCTAGTATTGCAAAGAAAATTCTCCCATAATGGTCCATTGGTGAGCATTCTTTTCCATATCTAAAGTACACAAAAACAAAAACAAAAACAAAACAAAAGAAGGAAAGCAAGGGAAGAAGGAACTCTTATTCTATGCTTTGATGGCGAGGTAACTACCAACTTGATAGGGGCGACTTTCTTGATTCCTATATCTGGTTTTCGTGTCTTCTCTTTATTCTTTTCAGAAAGAAAAAGTGAGGTTCTCTTGATTAGCTGAAAATCTGAAATAACCTCTTCATTAGAGTGGACAGGTAGAATTTTCCTTTGCATGCACAATCCATGGGATTAAAAGTCCACCCAATCACTTGAGTCCTAACTCCTAACATAAGGATGGGTGAGAATTTTCACTAAAGTTATAGAATGCGTACAAGAACAACAGTACGTCGATTTTGCCATTTCTTGTGCACAATAAGTTTCATATGGTCATGTCAATTGAAATTACCTAAGCTAAAAGTACACATATTTGTTCGCCCTTACTCTTATCAATTGGACTATGTATCTACACTAGGGCTACAAACGAGCCAAGCCGAATCGAGTTTTGGACTTATCGAGCCGAGCTCGACTTAATAACAGGTGGGCTTGAGTTTGAGTTCGAGCTCGAGCTCGACTCGACAAGGCTCACAAGCTGTAGCTCGATTTCTGGCTTGCGAGCAACTCGAATTGTCAGCTCGTAACGTAGCTCGAATTTCTGACTCGTGAGCAGCTTGTTAACTCGAGTTTCTGGAAATTAATCAAATAAAAATAACAAATAATTATTTTTTTCTTAATAAATAATAAAATATTATGGATATATATGTAATTTTACTATTAAAATTATTGTAGCTCGCGAGCTAACGAACTTAATATTTTGAGCTCGAACTCGAGCTCGAGTTCAATTTCGCCAGCTCAAGCTCGACTTGGATATTGATCGAACTTGAGTCAAGCTTTGACTCAAGCGGCTTGCGAGCAGCTCGATTCGTTTGCAATCCTAGTAGAATCTACACACTATTTTTGTTCAACCAGTTGACACTTGTTCCCAAATCATGTCAATCTCTGTCTCTTGCTTTCTTCTTTTTTTTCTGTCACAATAATAACATTTGTATAACCTACTTTAACTTAATTTAAGGAGAAGGGAAGCCGATGAAAAACCCCGTCAAAGTAAGCCACTTGAAAATGGTAACCACAATTAAGTGGCAAGGTAGGAGACAAGAATTGACCTTCCACCGCCACCAAGACTTAAATATCTTGGTGGTAGTACCAATAGCCCAAAAGGCTGTTGGCCTTCGTCTCTTGCTTTCATTTTGCAGCTGAAAAAGAAAATGATGAACTCAAGTAAGTAATAAATTTTTAAGAAGGGGTAATTTCAGAAGCCTTCCCTGAGATTTTTGACTATTTCACTAGCCTACCTTTAGGTTTCAAAAATCACACTAACTTCCTTTGAGATTTATTATCTTACAATATCTAGATCTAACCAGCAATTAAAAAGTGATATCAAGAGAGAGAAGATAACATGATTCCACTTTTATTCCTTATCTACTATATTAATTAGTTAATCTAATACCAAATCATTTGATCTCTAATGATAAACAGCAAATTTTAGTTGAGAGGCAATGGTGGAATCATGTTATCTTCTCTCTCATAATATTGTTTTTTAATTATTAGTTGGGTATAAATATTACAAGATAATTAATCTCGAGGGAGGCAGGTGTAATTTTTGAAATTTGAAAGAAGGTTGCTAAAATAGTCAAAAACCTTAGGGGATGTTTTTCAAATTATCCCATTAAAGAAAGCACTATCAATTTTAGGGGAAGAAACTTTTTGGTGTATTCATGACTTCCCCTAAGCCTTTTATTATTATTATTATTATTTTGAAAAAATAATTTCCTACAAGTTTATGCCTCTTGGAGCAGACGTTTTTTTTTTTTTTTGAAAATGCAATGCGTGATGTTCAGGCAGAGGTGCCCTCAGTGGGTATTGAAAATCAAATCATGCATTACAAATTTAACTTAGCTGAAAGTCTATAAGCAGCTAGGATCCAAGTAAGATTTTCTGAAGAAGGACATTGATCTTTGAAACCCCAACTTGAAATATAGGGAAGACAGCTGGCCTCTCGGCTCTTCCGCACCTAAGTTGGTCCTCAACCTTCTTTACTCTGTTTGTTTTTTTTTTCTTTTATAGATATAATGTAAGTGCGAGGATTTAAATGTGAAACTTCTCATTTGTACTCTCAAACTATCCAACCCATCTCTTCGTCATACTTTTTAGGGTAAACAACAAAAAAGCCCCATGTGGTTAAGCAATCATATATAAAAGTCCCCTGTGGTTTTATATCATACCAGTCGATACCCGTGGTTTGAATTAACCTGAAAAGTGGACGGAAATCGTCAAATTTTCGGTGTGTGTCTTAAACGAACTGCAAAGGCGCGTGCATATGCGAAAAACAGATTTCCACCACAAATTTTCACCTGATAAGCCTACTTTACCCTTCACTCTTTAATAATAAGAGACCAGCTTCCAAGTCTTCCGAGTCTTCATGTTCAGCCAAAATTGAAGATTGAAGGCAGCATTCGAAGCCTGTGCAAGTAATCAATCAAGCAGAGCTTGCAGGCTAGCAAAGGAATTGCAGGAAACAAAGCCTTAATGTAAAAATGTGAACTGTATCTGTATATATTCGGTCTGCAAATTCTGAAGGAAAAGTGCAGAAAGTACCCCAAGATGTCTTCCTCAAGCTCTCGACCAACAAGCGGGGGAAATGGAGGCAGAGGTCTTCGATACCAGTCTTGGCTATATAAACTGACCAGTCTTGGCAGAGGTCTTCCCCAAGTGGTCATTGGAGGCAGTCATATATATATGGCCACAGTTGCATGTAAACTCTAGTTCAATTCAAAGCATTGCCTTTTATAATTGCAAAATAAAAAAGATGTCAAAATTGAAAGCAAATATTCCTGGCAATATAAATCGTTCAATGCAAAGCTGATAATTCAACAAATAGCTGACGTTTATTTAATAGATTCTAACATCTTATTCAATATACAAGTTCATTTGCCCTTCTGGCCGCCACGTAAACCCGAGAAATATCCTCGAGGATTTGCCTCAAATCCGGCTCTTGAAATGTATGAGCCACCACCACCAGGCGCTTTCATATATCCACCGCCAGCACCAACACTGCCGCTGCCTTTAGATGAACCACCGCCACCGGAGCTTCCTTTCCCTCCTCCGTTGCCTCCACTGCCTTTGGCTCCTCCTCCAGAACTCCCACCTTGACCCATTTTGAAGTTGCTCTTTAGCTAACAAGTTTGAAACAATTCATATGCCAGTATAGCACTAAGCTGCTCGTGGGTGGATCATTATGCCAAGACTGGTCAGTTTATATAGGCAAAGGCTCTCGACCAACACTCCCATTTTTTCTTTGATTTTTTACTGCAAATCTTAACTTCCTTGTATTCTGCGTCGATCTTGATATTTGATTGAAATAACAATCAAAAATTTTGTTGAAAATTGGCTAGAAAAGGGGCTGCTCTATGTCTCTCTAGGGTTTTCTATTTCTTTCTCTCTCTCTTCGTTGGTTTCGATAGAATGAAAGTGCAAAATTACTTCTGCAATTTTCGCTTATATCAAAAGGGTATTTTCGTCTATTCACTCAACTCCGTCTGTTTTAACGATTTCCATCCACTTTGCAGGTTAATTCAAATCACGGGGTATCGACTGGTATGATATGAAATTACAGGGAACTTTTATGTATGATTGCTTAATCACAGGGGGCTTTTTTGTTGTTTACCCTACTTTTTAAATGTTACTATCTCTCCGTCATACTTTTTAAATGTTACTTGTTCTGTCCCATAAAGATATGCTCACTTTCTTTTTATGTATGTTCCAACTTATAGGCCTATTTCCTTTTTTAAAAAGTAGTTAGTTTCTTATTTTACTAGCATACTTATATTCAATATGCATAGTTATGAGAAATTTTTTAATCTATTGGTTGCCCTCTAATGCTTCCCAATTGAAAAGTTTGATTGTCTTGATTTACAAAGTAGCGAGAGCATATTTGGCTAAGTATTCGATCATCACGCCTTTCTTCATACTCTACTTCTCCTTGCTCAGCTTCTCCCAAGGCTTCATTCACCGTTCTTAATTTGTCTTGAGTTATTTTCTTGTTTTGCCACTTCCCTTTTTTTTTTTTCCTTTTTTTCCGTAAAAGTGCAAAACATAAGAACAATGAAGCTGAGAATCCTAATTTTGCAACAACAATTTTCCCATAATGGTCCATTTATGAGCTTTATTTGCTACATCTAAAATAAATTATCAAAGAAACCGAGGAAGGACCTCTGATTCTATGCCATAACGCGAGGTAACTACTAACTTGCTATGGGCAACTTTCTTAATTTTCATATCTGGTCTTCTTGTCTTTTCCTAATTCATTTCAGAGTAAATGAGTGAGGCTTCTGGTAATTAGCTTTCATTTTGCAGCTTAGAAAACACGTAAATTTACAAGTATCAAAATAGAGAAAGCGCTACAAATCTGGTTTTCTTGGACAACATGTATTCTTTATGTTTCTAGCTGATTTCTGAACTATGCAACTAAAAACAAGAGATCACATCTTGATCTAGGTTGTCTTTAGACTATATATTATTTGGTGCAAGGAAAGATTTCACCTACATTTCTTTCCTGTTTCTCATCCAAATAAAATTTGAGAACTCGGCTACTTGGATGAAATTGGCGTCCTGTAGTCGAGAAAAATCCACTTTTCGTCCTTAAATTTTGAGTTAGGGACACATTTCGTCCCCAAACTTTTAGACGCACCACATTTAGTACATGAATGAATTATTTTAGGCCACATTTTGTCCAAAAAGGATAAAATATTCAATTTGAATGAAGAATGCTGACGTGGCCGTTGATTTTGACTGAAAAATTATTTTTACTTAACAGCCACGTGCCAAACACGTGACTTTCTCCATCCAAATTAAACAATTTACCGTTTTTGGACTAAATGTGGCAAAAAATAATTAATTCATATGCTAAATGTAGTGCGTCTAAAAGTTTGGGGACAAAAAGTGGATTTTTCCCCTTGTCAGTCCCACAGCACTTTGCTGTATAGAATGTAAAAAGAAAATAGAATTCTTACAAGAATTCATGATTTCTGATGTTGGACGCCAAATCTCAAGTCACCTTAATTAACCTACCCCCCAGTTGGTTACTCTCAGAATGGATGGTGGCAACAACTTCCCTTTCCCGATCAAAACTCAAGAATTCAAGAGGTTGAGCAAGTCTTGGTTTCCAAGAGAAAAGAACCATACACTTCATGGTCAAAATAAATTTGATCGTGAGTAAAGACATGTCTAAATCTGACGTGCTTGGACCCCAAAAGGAAAAGGAAGACTTGAGTTAATAGTAATAGCTAACCTCAATCGTCATCTCCTTTTTAGAATCTTAGCAACCAACCTTCCTCGAACTGTTTTCATATCGGGTTTGACCATCTTCCTTTCCTTTGGCCTTTTCCATGATCCCTCTCTCTTTCTCTTTAACCGTTGACGGCGGATCTCAGGATCAGCCCAACCTTTGCCCCATTCTGCAAAACTAGAATACGGTTTGCGGTTTCTCATAGACAGCATCATATCAGCTTCTGGATAAACATAAAATGGTCTGTTCTCAGATCTCAACAGTTGTAATCCTGATTCTGTTGGTTCTGGAAACTTTATCTGAACATGAGCCTGCAAGACAAGAATGTCAGCTCAAAAACATGGTATTAAAACAGTGGTATGGGGATTATGATGACGAAGCAACAAAATATACTGCTGTGAAAATCTCGATATTAGTCAAAATGCTTTAAGGGACTATTTAGCACAAGACTCTAGCCTGTTTAACAAAATCAGAAGTGAGTACTTGTCACAAAATCAAAATTATTCATGAAAAGGCAATAAATCTTTGAAGTGTTTACTCAATCAGTTGAAACTTCTAATGATTCAACCACTTGACAGCAGAACTAAAGCCAGACTCAAATCTTAAATTCTCCCTTTACTTGGAGAAATCATACCTATTCCAAAATGTGGAACCTGTAAATTCTTACTCAGTAAAAGCAATAATAACAAGTTGAGAGTTCCAACACACCAAAATCATCTTTTGACTTCATATTTCAAAAACAAAATTGCCTCGACAATTATCTTAATTTTACTGGTGAAATCATTGAACTTAACTTTGGAAGACATAAGAGAGTACCATTACAATAAAATTTAATACAAGATCATACCTTATCATCTCCATCCTTAATAAATCCTTTATCTTCTAAAACACGGGCAAGACCTTGCCACCACAAAAGATCACTTGAAATGAACTCGTGATGCTGAAAAATATTGAAGGAATAATCGGCTTGATGTAAGAAGGAGAAGTCCTATCCAAGTCAAATTGAGTTAGAAACATAATTTTCTAAGAGCGAATCGTCAGAGTAACCATTAGATTGCTCTTGACAGAAGCCTTTACTAACACTGGAAAGGCATTCATTAAGATCTCTTTTCGAATATAATTCAGAAATTGCAGATATCATGGCATATTGAGCCTATCTAATTCTAATTCCCCTGATACCATATTTGTCAAAAGCCTGGATAGCCCAAAAGAGTGACTGAAGAACATTAAAGGATTGCGCTTATCAAGTTACAGTTAGATTGCTATGGTCAATGCATATATCCATAATTTTGCAAAGCAGCACAAGCAAAAGAAAAAAGAAAGCAGGTACCCTATAACACAAAGATGACGTTGTAATGTATCCTTAATCTACAAGAGAATATCAGACAATTTTCCATTCCAAAGGACAGAATGCTGATGTATCATGACCTCTGGTCATTTGGACATCAGGGACAAGCATGAAATTCTGTACTAAAGAACCAACAAATACAAGGTCAGTAAGTTGCACTTCCTTTCATATGAATAGTACAACAGGAGAAGTTATCTCCACATTTGAAGCACAGAGGTGTTCCAAGAATTTACTTTTCCACTTAGCAAGGAAAAATAACAATGTTCACTAACATCTCTCTGGTTAGTATGAGAGACGAAAAATAACAATGTTCACTAACATCTCTCTGGTTAGTATGAGAGACAATTGTTGATCAATTGAAATACTCCAACTATGAGCTTGTACTGAACTAAAGGTGCATACTCTTTGTTTACGTGTATGATCACACATAGGATTTCACATTATAATATCCTTTTTAACAATGCTTAAAATCAAGTATCATCACTTTAACTACTTCAATCAAAAAGAAAGAAGAAACAACCATTAATGGTTCATTTTGCTCTTCCTCTGTTCGATCTTGAACTTTTCCTCAGCCACCTTGTAGTAAAACTATAACATTCTCAACCCTAACAACTTAGTCTCATGCTGTCTGTTGAGGGAAAAAAAATGAAGGGAGATAGAGAGAGAGTCAAGCAAAGTCATCCACCCAGATTCTTCTAAAGATGCAAGAGTGCATACTTGAGTCTTCATTTCTTTGAAATTAATTATTACACATACTCCAAAATGACATGACATTGTACAACTTAATCCTTCTTGCAATTATATGAGAGTAACCTAAAAGATAAGGTGCTGCTAAAAGGCCAAAAGTTGACAATCAATAACCATTCCCGGCCCTCCAGCTTAAGTGACTAAAAGACCGCTCAGCTATCCAAACCTCCTAATAATTTTGTGCAGCATAAAATATCTTCCAAATATAAAATTAAAGACAAATATAATTTTGATTCTAATACTCAATAATAGTATGTAAGGCTCTTGTAGAAGGTAAATAACTGAGGGATGACACAGAAACAAACGTACACCAACAAACATACAGGTAAAACTGGAAGAAGTGTGCTGCGAACCTATGTAAACCAGTATTTTCTGGGGGTATTAGTAGGGTTAAATAATGCTTTAAGTTGACTAGGGAGTGTCCATCAATCTATTAAACATGGCTCAACCACACAATGGAACCAACCAGTCATGTGATTATTAGCTGCAAGATTGTTGGTTTAAGTAGGGTGTTTTCAGTAATTGGCTTTGACTTTTCACAATTACCAATATAATTATCCAACTATCTATACAGCAGCCATGGTTACTTATACCAAGGTGTTAATTGCCTCCCAATGCTACAAAAATGTCAATCATATGCAACAAACTCAAATTTTATTCAAGTGTTGCCCACAATCCAGATCCATCTGCAATTCAACCAATCAATCATCACAGGACCATAGCAAGAAGAGGCTTGATAGACCAGAAACATTGAGTCAACAACATTTTCATCACTTCTCTCGTCAATTTCCCTCCCTAACAGCTTAACTATTGAATCAGTATACAACCATTAGAGTTCATCAGAAAATTTGAGAAGCTATGTGACACAAGTGTCCAAAATCCTATCGTGCATTATGCATGGAAAAAGATGAGAATGCCAGTATTAAGATTGTGCATTTACGACTCAGGATGTTCATTCTCCCAGATAAAGAAATACTTGGGTGATTGCATTTGTGGTTTCATTCTGACAGCATTCAATTAGATTTCCTCAAAGAAATCAAGAGTACCTGTTCTCTTATTGTGCTAATGAGCCTCTTCAAGTTTGATTTCTCCACAAATCTCCTACAACTAACACCAGGTTCTATAGCGTCATTGTATGAGACATCTTGAAACCTGTTTTGTCCCTAAAACACAGCAATAAGATCATAAAAAACTTGAACAAAACAAAAGAAAAAATAGAAAGCATCAAATTACAACAAGTATAATTTCAGTATTGAGATCTCCAAATACTTGGTGGAATACCAAAAAGAACCGGGAAGAGTTGAAGACATCATAATGACAAAGACACTCACATTGTGAGATATGATAGCCTGCATTAAAATTGTGACCTCCTTCTTCAAATTATGTGCTTCCGGAGGCCCCTTAGTACAGATATCACACCTGCATATGACAACAGTGCTTAATAGGTAGCACAAACCAAGCAAGGAGCTGTAGTTGCAATAACCAGAGAGCTAGAATGCAGAACATTAATTTGACGCTGACATTTGTAAATGAGCTCCAAGCTATCCAAATAAGACATCCATTGACTCCAAAATGTATGCCACATGAAAATCTCTATATTAGAATTAATACAATGGAGTAACAAGCATCAATAGAGTGGGTTAGAAAGGAGTTTATGTGATGGATTCTAAGTGTCATAACAAATTCAGAGTATCAATAAGCCTGTAATGCATGCAGGACCTGAGGACCGGGCATCTGTAGCCCATCCCCTTCATGGAAAGAAGCAATGTTTTTGATTAATGAGGTCCTATTGGAGCAACTTCACCATTTCACCAAGAGCCAACTAATAATTCCTTTTTTTTTTCCTTTGCCTTATTCCAAAGAAGGTTCATTCACCCATGCAGAAGCCTTAATAGAGGTTAAAGCTTTATAACATGACAAGAAAGAACATGGCATACAAGAAACACTTCTTCTGGACAAACTCCTGGCCAAAATATTCCACAAGCATTTTGGCTCTACAAGAAGATGTATGCATTCCGTATCTGCAGGTGAACAAACAGTATAAATACCACGTTAAAGCATTTGAGCAAAAGACTATAGTAAAAGAACTAATTCATATTAACCTGAAGCAGTCAGACAACATCTTATATGCTTGTTTTGTCTGTTCTTCACTCCTCTGACTTGGCAGAAGTGTAGGTATTCTTGTCAGATTAGCATATAGAACTGCTTGACAAGCAACCAAAAAGATTTCAACAGATATGCCAAGCACCATCTTTTAAATGTCAATTTATTTATCTCTGAAACAGAAACAGAAGTCTTTTCCAGAAAGCATAGACCAAAGAAAGCATTATAATAAACCTTATAGGATAACAGGATTAACTTGTATAATGCATAAAACATTAATACCAGTTAAGTAATTCCAATAGTTAATTTGAAAGATCTCAATATTGAAATTGCAACATGTTCAAAACAAATCAACTAACCACAATCTGCCAATTTTCCATCCCGCCCCGCTCGACCTGCTTCCTGATAGTATGCTTCTAAGCTCTGCAAATAAGACATTAGGAAAAAGGGAAGTGACAAGAAACAAAAACCGAGATACTAGAAAATAATACCCATGTTCAGGTAGAGGTAAAATGATGGGATAATAATACACAAGGTAAAAGAAATCAAAACTCTAAACCAACAACTCAAACTAATCGAAATCAAAAGTTTAGTGCAAACCTGTGGCCATCCATAATGAATAATTCTTCGAACATTCAACTTGTTAATACCCATCCCAAAAGCAATTGTTGCAACCACCACCTGCCACCGGAGGAAAAGATTATTCCCTCCTAAATTCATAATAATATACAACTATATGTTTCTCAAATAAAAAGTCTCAGAAAATGAACTGAGAAAACTGTCTTGCCAAAAATCCCAAGCATTATATTGGTAACTCTCCCCAAGATTCAAGCTAAGAGCTTAAGTTGCATAAGTTACAGCATGTTGGCACCCATCCACCTGATGCCAAATGGCAAATATGCCAGCACGTGACATGCAACAGTTAGATTCATGGTCCGCTATATAATAGGATTTCGAAGGCTGTATACCTTCAAACTAATCATCACACGTCCCATGCCTTAGGCAGAGATATTTGAGGTTTACGACCTAGTCAAGATGCCCTCACTTGGGGTCAAAGCAAAATTTAAGTTGTATGACAGGGTTGCCCTTGACCAGGGGCAAGAGGCCATCAAGAGGAGCTGAAAGCAATCTTCAAAGTGATGCACTCAGAATTGTCACACTTGCCAACTGGCACACCAGGCAACGTCAGCCTGGGGTATGGCTACAAGCTGGTCCAGTTAAACAAGCTGTAGGTTTTCAAGCTCAAGTTGAGCTCGAGCTCAAATTCAAGATTTGAGCTAGGATTCAAGCAGAAATTAACTTTTATCAAATTGATTATGCTATAATTATTATCTTCCCTTTGACCCATTACTTTGATGATAAAATTTGAAGTTCCATCACAATACGTAAAAGTATACTGCAGTTTGAGTTGAATAGAGCTTATACAAGCTGTACTGGTTTGAGCAGAGTCACTGAAGCTTGAGCTCAAGATTGGTTTATACATATAAACAAGCTTAGCCAAGGTTATCTTCAGGAACATTTTGGTAAAAACCTTGGCTTATTTACAGCACTATTTACAAGTTCAACTCTTATTAGGTATGCTCCCACAAAATTAAGCCAATGACTTCACATATTATGCTCAGTAATGCATCAGGAATGACATAGAACCATTCAAACAGGTTTAAAATGGAAACAGAGAGAATGCAAAAGCATCAAAGAAGGTATATAAAGGGGATTGACCTTTAAGCAGAGGGTTCAGTGCAAGCACATACTCCTTTACTAAGTCTACTACCAAGAGAATAAATAACCAAATCTGCAAAAATTTTGTACACAAAAATTCAAGCATCTTGGTCCTCAAGAATTTATCAAATGACCTTCAATGATATTATTACCACCCAATGAATATTGTTAAACTTAGTTTATCAAAGAAATCCGAGTCTTGCTTATTAGATCAGAGAAGGACATTTCCTCAAGAATATTCTCAGTAAGTTTATTACATGGACTCTTCAGGCTATCCCAGAGAAACTATATTCACAGAATGAAACAGCGGTCCTGGTAAAACAACATTAAATTTAGAATGGAGCTCTAGGACCTCTTTGATTCATGGAGAAAACTACTTAACAGTATTTGTGGAAGGCGCCTGAATATAATGAGCACTACCAAGGGATTTACATATTGAGTGCTACAACTTAGGTTTTCTTTCATAGCCCAATAGAATGAACACAAATTCAACCATTACACCAAGTTTTCTCCAGTATGTGATAAACAATCAATGAAGGCATCTTCTGCACCATAAAGCAGAATACACACATAGTATTGGGAAACTTCAAAACTACACACAGTTATACATAAATTATAGACACCTGAGGTCTTGTGACAAAGATAAATGTAAAGTCGTAAAGACATATATATTTCCAAATTATAACCTCATAACTTCATAACTTTGAAAATTGTAATTACTTCCTTCCCCAGCATAATCATCTACGTACCTGTGCCCCCCCCCTCAAGTTGAAAAGGACACAAAGAACCAATGAGCCTGAGATGCATTTTAATGTATACATAAAGCATAAACCAACTCCATCATGGCATAAAAAGACAAATTAATAACTAGCACATTACATTTTTTTTAGATCAAATAAGATGATAACTGCCAGAGAAAATGTAAGAAGGATAAACTTTAGAAACATTCATGTAAACAAGTGAGGAAGAAGGTAATGGTAGAGTCTGGCTGTAAATTTTTGAAGAAAAGTTACTTGATACTCAAACATATTGTTCTGATGTCTCCTCTACCTGTAAAATGTTGTCGTGAAATTCCTTATGCACTTGCCTTAGATGTGCTTTGGGCAACTGAAAAGTCAGAGGAAAAAAAAGAGGAAGTTAGCTGGAAAGAGGGACCGCGACCAATTCAGAAGCTATTTGACAAAGCTTGGTTGCATTGAGATTTATCCCTATACTTCAATTGCTATGAAAGGCCTTCATTCAGTATACAGAGTTGGTCCATCTGGATCCTAAGAGACCACCCATGAATTTGCTTCCTATAAATGAGATGCAACCACACAGTATCTGAAGCTCCTAATTAACAAACTATTTTATTCTTACAATGTAAATATTACATCAAAGTTGAGTGGATATGAATGCAGCAACAGAAAACTCAATAAACTAGAGGAAATAGGTTTAATCAACGAATGTTGAGAAAATTCAGCTAAGAAAGTGAGGAAAGGAAAAGGCTTCCGAGATGATTATAACAACAGATGAATGCATACCTTTGCATTATATGCGGCAGATTTGACACCAAATCTGGATAGAAGCTTGGCTAAACTTAAAGTTTCTTTTCTGGTAGGGACATATATGATAGTTGGCCCCTCCTCTAGTGGTCCTAGTTGAAGTTTCAGTCTCTCTTCCGATCTGCTCTGTAGATCAAATGCATCAGTTGAATCTGATTCATTTAAAATCTTGGCAGTTGATTGTCCAGAGAATTCACCACAAGAAACTGAAAGGACCATCAACAAAATTAAACAACCGTAAGAAAAATTATAAAAATGCCCAAGCCTATGTGATATGTTGGCTTGTTTACTGGAATGACTTAACCTCAGGACTACATTTCAAGTTCTTCCACCAAAAAGCATGGGCTATTTTCAGGTGTTGATTTGAGTAGGAAGCATGAATTGCTTTTCCATCCATCTTGATTATTCACTAGTTATCTCCGTTGTGGAAAGATGTTCTCAAAATTTTATATTGCCTCTGTACAGTTGATTTGATGTAGAGAAGTTTATCAACCATTCAAAGTGCGAGTACTTAACTCCAAAGGTTTATAAAGCTGTGAATAGCCATTTGAGGTCATATAAGATATTTATCCACATAAAATCTTGATGCTATCTTTGCCTATCTCTTTATCTTAATTAACATACTAATTTATCTATAAGTGAGATTTAAGGTAAAACTTAACTTTTCTTGTCAGTGTCTTTCTTACAATACAAGCCCTTCAAAACTTAGGTATGTCTTTCACATAATTAGTTAACTGCATCAAACTTTGATGCTTCTTTCATCTTTCTCTTTATTTTCTCCTAGTGTGTTCAATCAGCTTTATCTTAGATGTTAAAGCTAGTAAGTAAAGCAATTCCATGCACAATAAAAGATAAACAACAAAATATAGCAGCATGTACCATCTAAATCATCTGTATCCTGAAAAACATCACACTCATCTTCTAGGTATTCAACAGACAATTTCTTGTCCTTTGAACTTGCAGATCTACACTCATTTGACATGCCTACTTCACTATCACTTTCAGAAAAGGCATCATCATCATCTATTGTGTCTGGTTCAAACATGTCGCAAGTTGCTGTTCTGCTCATGTTGTCAGGTGCATGCTCCAGATTTTTCGACATTAATTGATGTGCTTTGCCAAATTTCTTCTTTCTTGTGAAGATCTCTATCAACTCATGAAAATCTTTCTCATAGGAAGATAAAGATGATGTTCTACTGTGCTTCACCTGAAAATACTCAAAAAAAAAAAGAAAAAAAAAAAGAAGAAGCATTTATTACCATAGGATGAAATATGCCCGCAAGCTAGCTGTGTACCAAAATTCCATAAGAAATGCTAATTTTACAGAAGCAATTCAGAAAATTCTTATACAAAATTAAGTTGCAGACACTTCTTCCCTGTCTGCTAAACTGTTTTTTGAAATAATGTCTATCAAAAATTTAAACCACAAAATTGTGCATTCTCCGTCAGGTTCTGAAGATCATTTTCCAAGTTCTTGCTGCAGATTAGTTGAAATTGACAAAATCTGAATATTGCACTCCAATTCATTCTAAAAGCAGTATTGTTTGGGATTTACTCCAAAAGTCACCAAACTAGTCAAATGCATCCATAATACTAAAGAAGAAATTTTTTATCCAAAACAGCATAAAGGAACTTGGGGATAACTGAAAAACGAAGATTCGGCCTGAAAAATGAAGTGACTATGATCTTTGAATCCATTGACATGCAAAGTGACTTGAGAATGTCATCTCGAACACGAATAGTTGCAGTAGCAGTCAACGCCATAAGCGGTATGTCAAACTTTAGGAATTTGAGATTCTCAGTACTGAAGCTCTCTCTAAGTATGGACAATCGCCTGAAATGGATAAAGATGATACACATGAGACACCATGATTTCCTGATATTTACCATGCAAATGAGGTGGAAAATTAATTAGGTAGGTAAATACATACCAAGCTTTACTTGGAAGTAATATTTCAACATTCACAGGATACATTAGTCTTTTCAGTATTAGTTCATCAGGATTTTTCATTAAAAAACACAAAAGAAAGAAAAATAAATAAGTTCTAACCTAACTCAATCTTGTATAGATAGAAAGCACATAAGCATGCTTTTTCTCATACCAGCACTCGTCCAGACCAACCGACATCATTCAGAGTCCATGCAACAGTCAAGAACTAAATAATTTGCAGTTTGTTTCAGATTGTGATTCAGTTGTTAATCATGGCCAACTCCAATTTTCAATGAAACAGGTTGGTAAAATTATGAAGCTGTAAACTTATTGTAGCATTTCAAGTAAACAAAAACAGTCACTCTCCATAACCAATCTACTGTCATTAAGATGTAAAAAGCACCTGCATCGGACACTTGACATAGTGAAAAAGGGTATGCAACAAAATGGCCCATTAATGCACTAAAGTATTTTATCCTTTTTCTTGCACTTTAAAACTTGTTGGTCATACCAGATCACAAGTATTATGTTATTCCATACATATAATGGCTCAAAACCTTTCCTAGACCAGATTTTGCTTGAGGACAGTATAACATAATCTTGAGATGTTTACTCCATCTTACTGTTAGAAGAAGAATATATTCTGCAGCCCATTTATCAATTTACTTTAAAAAAGGAAAAAAAAAAAAGAATATTTCAAAGACTTGTAATGCACACCTATCATTAATAACATTGATCACAATATCTCCAAAAACATCCCACAATATAGCTTTGCTACCTCTAAGCATCACACAGTTCTCGTTGACAATGGTTCAGGCCACATAAACCCTTCAATGGTGAATTTACTAGAGTCAAGAGATTCATCACCTTACCTGGCATCCTTAAATCGTAGGACATTCTCTTGATTATATTACTTTTTCATAGACATATGAAGATCAAAACTTTCCATCCTGTACCATTATCCCAAAAAAAAGGGACCTTCATCAGGTTGAAAATGTTCAGAACATAAACCAGCAAAGGGGATGTAGAGGACCTTGAGTAGGACCAAATTGCATGACTTGTACTTCCCCAACTGCTTTCATCAAGTATCCTTATCCCATACACTTTGAACCTCCTTATATAAATGGTGCAGTCGTAGAGTAAATTGGGATCATTAATTTTTAACTGGTTTTTTTTTTTTGCAATTATCAGAAAGCAACCAAATTATTTAAGTTGTCCATGTTTAAGCAACAATGTAAAATTGTATAAAGAATATAAACCTGTAGTCAGGTCGAAAATCATGTCCCCATTTAGAAACACAATGCCCTTCATCAATTGCAAACAGTGCAATTCCACGGCTTTCTGCAAGCCTCTGAAGTGATCCTATTAGTCTGCGATAAATTTCAGAAAACTTAATCAGTCAAAGAATTGCTATACACCATCACCAAAACAAACTTGTCAAATGAAACACCACAACATTTTACCTCAGTACTGTCTCTGGGCAGACATAGATAATTCCATATATGCCATTCATTGCTTTCTCTTCAACACTCTTATCAATTTGACCAGATCCAAGGAAGCAAGCCGACACACCATGTTTTGCAAGCATCAAGCATTGATCATGCATCAAGCTTATTAGTGGTGAAATAACAACCACCACCTTCCCTGTTAATAACGCCGGGATCTGAAAACACAAAGACTTCCCTGCATTAACATAGCCATCTTAGATCCCAAGAAATTCACTTTCTTCAAGATGATAGCGTGCAGGGAACAGACATAATAAAATTAGCAACCTGATCCTGTTGCTGCAAGAACAAGCGAGTCTTTATGAGCTATCCAAGCTGCCAGAGCTTCCTTCTGAAAAGGCTTCAAAAATGAATGACCAAAATGCTTGTTTAGTATATTTTTAACTTCCATTTCCCAATCTGACCGACCAATGTCATCTTCATCTTTGTAACATGGTATTATTGCATTCGAAGTCTCTGGAAGAGATTCTTTTGATCCTAATGCAGTCCCAAGCAATCTCACTGAGCTAGGCATGACTAAGTGAGGTTCATTGGTGAACTTGCTACTTTTATTAGGTTTACGTCCACATTGTAAGTGCTCAATGATGCTTAACTGCCGCATTTTACCAGCAGATTTCTTGCTGCTTGTGCTGCCACCCAGAGAACTTGTAGAACTACCCAATACATTTCTACTCTTTCTACAACAACCATTTAAGATAAACTCAACTGCGTCATCCAAAGATGGACCTACGGCCTTAATGGCTTCTTTTACATCGTCAAACTCAAAACCCATGCCAATCAATTCAGCAACGACCTGGTCTGAAGTCATTTTCCCCCTTTCCATTCTCTCACAAGTTTTACAATTTCACAGATACGAAATCACGAAATTAGGGCAAATAAACACAAATCCAGAATCTGACCACCATTGTGAATTCTTGGGAAAATTGAAAATCCTTAATCCTACGAGAATAGCAGCAAGCCAGGGGGTAGAATTGTTACCTATCCGAAGGAAGGAATGGATTGGAATTTGCGAGAATGAAACCCTAGAAATTGGGAAATTGGAAGCTTAAATCCTTCGATGTTCAAACGAGAAACTCTCCCAAAGCTAAAAGCCTAAAACAATACAAATTGGATCGGTTCTAAACTATGTCGTTTCTTTCAAGTCCTTTCTAGTGTTAAAGAAAATGTAAAACTAGATGCAGATTTGAAAAAAAGGCGCCAAAGATTTAGGTAAATTACACAAAAGACCCCTGAGTAATGCAAACTCTAGTATTAGTACCTTATGTATGTAGTAATAAACATTTTATCCCAGTTTTTGGAGTGAAGCTTTCCCTTAAGATTTTAAAAAGAAAAGAAGGATACTCGGTAAAATGAGATGTTAGTTTTCTCGTTAACTTCGATCGTCAAATTGGAAAAAAAAAGGGAAATAATTGATAGCTAATCGAAGTGAGAATATGGTTATACAAGACTTCTCAATAAGAGAAAAAAGATCAGTAAAGAGATAGAAAATGAATATAATAATAATAAAAAAGAAAAGTACAAAAATGGGCAGCAGCAAAGGAAATGGCATAATAAGAATAAAATTTAACAGATGCCTCTTCATTGAGGCTAAATAGTGCTTTGGCAAAGAGAGCACTATGTAATAAGCACACTCAAACTTATATTTCAAAAATTTTTGAAAACTATTCATATTAAGCCACATCAGTAGGCCTGCCCTGATTTAGACTATAAATTGATTTTCATTGTTCAATCTAGAAGAATGGCAAGAATAATAATCTTAAATTCAAGTTTTGTATTGGATGTATAAAATAATGGTCAGACATGAATAGTACCTCACATGCAAGATTGGCAAGATTTCGGCTAGGATGATGCATGACAATCCGACACATATATTATTTCTAATAAGATTCTTCAACAGACTCCAATTTTTCTAAGGATAAAATACAGTAAATCTCCCGTGATTTCGTGGAAAAATAGTCGGTACCTCTATGGTTCAGAAATGTCCACATGGAGTGGTGGTAGTGGGAATTGATGGTAAAGAGTGGCAATGGTCGTTGGTTCTAATTTTCACAAGGGATAATTTCAGAAACCTCCCTTGAGGTTTCATGAAATATCACATAACTCCCCTAAACTTTTTAAAATCTCAATTAGCACCCTTGAAATGATAATAGAGCCATATACTAATATCAAAGGTGATGAATTATCAATAATGCCCTCATATTTAAATTTTCTGAACTTGTTTTTCTTTCTTTAAACTTCTTACTTTTCTTTAACAATGTCAATACAAACATACATACATACATACATATATGCATACATATATATGTATGTATAATTAAATTGCAAATATCAATAAAATATAGGATTTAATCAATGAAATATTCAATGCACTTGGAGAAAAATAGCTGCAGGTTCTTTTTATTTTTTTTCCTTTTTTGGTGTTTAATAACTTTATTTATTTATTCTTATTCATGTTGAGCGCAAGAGAAATAAAATAATTGAAACTCCAAATAGTTTTTCAAATTCTGACTTTTTCTATAATAAAATTTTCATATTTTACACCCATAATAAAAGTCTATCTATTTTGAGTAAATTTTTTGTATGATATTGAAGTTGAATTTCATCTGTTACTAAGTTTTTTTGCTCAAATGTATGATTTTACATGTTAATTACCTTCAACACTATGAAGGGTTTTATTTGTAGAAATGATTTAAAAAATAGTATTTACTTTTACTATCTCTTCCTACTGTAGAAGTGACTATTGGTTGTAACTTAAAATCTTACCAATTTTCATCTCCTCACTTTTAAGATGGTTTCAATTTAGTACTTTTTTTCCTTGGTTTGTAAAATGTTCATTTTTTTTATAGTATAAGGGTATTAAAGGCACTAAAATAATCTCTCTCCTCAAACATGAATTTTTTAATATTACTTTTAGTTAGAAGGGCTTCCAATGTTACCAAAATGTCAATTCAAGGGGTGCTAAGTGAGATTTTGAAAACCTCAAAGGAGCTAGGTGATATTTCATAAAACCTCAGGGGAGGTTTATGAAATTATCCCTTTTCACAATGGCTATGGTGAGGCTTAGAGGAACAATTGACTTTGTTGCTCAAAGACAATTGACTTTTCACAATGGCTTTAGTATTTTTGAAATATTTTATTGTAACAGTATATATGAAAAATTTTTACTATAAATATGTTTTTTGTGATATTTTTTGAGGGATTTCTGAAATATATTTTGGGGTAATTTTAAAAATTAAATTATTTGTAGGATTAATCTTTCCTACACCGACAATATATACACTATCAGTATTGGATGAATGATAACTATGTAAAATTTGAATTTGAAATTTAAATTTTGCACACATGTCATGAATCAAACGATAATAGTGTATACAATGTTAGTATATAGAAGATTTACTCTTATTTTTATGGTACTTTTAAAAATTAATACTACCATCCCTAACCACCATCACCACCTCCCGCCGCCGCCACCCATCTCCTTTCTCCTCCCCTTCCTATTCGCTCTTCCTTCTCCCCTTCCCTTATACCCCTATCCCTCGGCCCTCCCCTCCCCCCTTGGATCTAGTTGCGCCCAAATTGTGACTGGAAAGTTGCAACCTTTTGGTCGCCATCTGGCTGTGACAAGAATACAGCCTTTGGTCGCAATCGGAGGCCTCGATCTAACCAGATTGAGGAGGGAGGAGCTGGCCAAGGGGTGAGAGGCAAGGGAAGGGGAAGAGGGAGGTGGTGGTGGCGGTGGTAGGTGGTAGTGATAGGTGAAAAATGTTGTAGAATTTAAAAAAATTTTTTTTGTATATATTTGTAAGTTGTATTTGATATATTGTATGAATGATATGTTTTTTGAGTTGTTTCTTTTTTGTGCATTACTATAACATTATATTTGAAAAACTAGTTTTTTAAAAATAGGCCAATCCAAACGGAGGTAGTATAAAAATTTAAGATCTTTCTATCAATTTGAACAAATTCCATCAATTTTCCAAATTAGTTAAAAGCAAGAGAGGGTCTTATGAATATTTCAAAACAATAAGATGATCACCTGTCTTTCCCTAAAAACACAAGATTTACTGTATTTTACCCTTTTTCTAACTTAGCCCATTGGACCTATTATGCGCAGTATTAACCAGTTGTGTTTGATATTAAGTCAGATCTCTTAGAATTGAGTTAATTAATCATCAATGTTTCACATGGCTAATATTTTTCGCTGTCAATCAAGAGTAAAATTACATATCCAAGTGATACACAAATTTACAGTTTTGTTAATGGTTATTATCACTTTACCCCCTTAATCTTAAGTCACAGTAGAAGACATGTACACCAGGAGTTCCTCGTGATCATGGTGAAAGAGTCTTTTATGAATCAATCTAGTTCTTAAAACCCACAATCAGTTGGAATAAAAAGAAAATAAAATGCACCAAAAAAACCCCATACGTAGGGTACTTTTTTTTTTTTTTTTTGGATCAGATAAATGGTATGTAGGATAGGGTTTGAAACTTGCTTTCTTACTAAGCTTTAACAAACTCCATATACGGGTTCGCCCTTCAAATATGCTATTTCTTGAGTTGCGTACCATATCATCCACATCATGGTCACTAGTGAATGGTGGCGCCTTGCTGATATCCAACAAATAATACTACTATTAACTAGTGAATAAAGCATTCCTTGCAGTTATAGGCATGCAAATTAATAAAAAAATTAAGTTTTTTTTTTATTTAAACTAATGGAAGTAATTAAAGTTTATGATTTATTTGGCAAATAGAGAAAAAAAAAAGTGATTGGAAGTGACAGTTATTAGAAATTAGTACTAAACTTAAACAAGTTCTATCTTTCATAAATCTTTACTCTTATGAGAGTAATATTAGAGAATCAAAAGATGACACAAAATTTTAACATATAGAAAGGTGTCGGACTAAGCAATCAATTATAACCATAATAGAGGTTGTTTAAAAATGTCCCAAAATGTTGTGCGCCATTAATTGAAATAAAGCACGCTAAAGCTTCAGTTTGACTAGCAAATATTGCATTGATTTTTTAGAACAATAATGCAAAATAATGCATGTTTGTTTCAAAAACATATTTTTATTGTGTACGTAAAATAAGCGACTTTTAAAATTAAAAAAAAAGCACATGGAAACATTTTGTTTGGTGTAAAAGTTTTCATAATGGAAAATGTTTTTCTCATTTTCTTAATGGGAAATGATAAATGTTTTTTTTTTTGAAAATATAATATAAAAAAAAATTAAAGAAAATAGCAATCTCTTCATTCTTTTTGCAATTTGGTTTGACTTCCAATGCCATACTGTTGTACTACCATCGTTTTATGTCCATGCTACTTTTATTTCTTCTTGCTTAGTGGTAACACTACATGATATTTCTTGGAAAACATTTTCAATCAAAAACGAAGACATGGAATATTGTGCACTAGAATAAGCAAATGCAGAAAGCAAAAATGAATCAACTAAATATTCCACTTATAACTACTTTGAAACTCATAGCGTAATTACGTTTTTTCTAGGAATTGTCTATTACACAAAACAAGCTAAAAACACATGGAAAAAGACGGATTAAAATTTTGCATTCTCCATCTTCTGAAAACAACTCATCATGATTTATCTTTATACGTGAAAAAGCTTTATAACACAAACGAAAGCAAGTGAAATAACGGAGAAGGGGCAAAGGGGGAAAAAACGAAGTTGCTAATTATTGCATTTACTACTATATTCGATAGAAGTAAATGTCAAAATTTGTATTTGTGACGTGCATTCAAACGTGACAGTGTATAAATAATCAATAACTTGTATAAAAGATTTATCCTATAAAACTTATAGTAAGTAAGTAATAACTTGGTGTGGATAAAAAGTTCTCATTTTGGGCTAGCATGGTACCGAAATCATGGAGTGGTAAAAGCCGTTGGTGAGCCTTTGACAATAGTTTTGGTGTTTCTCCTCCCCCTTTCATTCTATCCCACATCAATTGTGAGTGGTGTGTGTACTATTTAAGATCTTCAGTGTAGCTTGAAAGTCAGCATACCTTTTGGGTTGGACTGTGAATTTCTCTTAGGTAGTGTGTGCGTGTGTTATTTA